GAATGCTGGTACAAGAGGCGATCAATTGGTCAAGCAGTTCGTCAGAACGTTAAAGGGAAACGCCTTTGACTGGTATACTGATCTCGAGCCTGAAACGATCGAGAGTTGGGAACAGCTTGAAAGAGAATTCCTAAATTGCTTTTACAGTACGAAGAGAACCGTCAGCATGATGGAGNACAGCTTGAAAGAGAATTCCTAAATCGCTTTTACAGTACGAAGAGAACCGTCAGCATGATGGAGCTCACGAACTCCAAACAAAGAAAAGGCGAACTRGTTGTTGAATATATCAACCGATGGAGAGCTCTAAGTCTTGATTGTAAAGATAGGCTTACTGAACTATCCGTTGTCGAATTATGCACTCAAGGTATGCATTGGGAACTTCTTTACATCCTTCAAGGTATAAAACCTCGCGCCTTTCAAGAGCTAGCAACTCGTGCTCACGATATGGAGCTAAGCATTGCTAATCGAGGAAGTAAGGATTCTTTAGTGCTGGACTTAGAGAAAGAAAGCAAAAGTGTTGAGAAAACTTCAAATGAATTTTTTGGTGTAAACACAATCTCTCCCAAGTTGTTTTCAAAAATAAAAGGGAAGAGAATTGAGAAGCAACAAGGAAATAGGAAAAGATGGCTAAGCTTGAAGGAAAGACAAGAAAAGGTCTATCCTTTTCCTGATTCTAATATCCCTTATATGTTGGAACAATTACTGGAAACACGACTGATAGTACTTCCTGTGTGTATACGGCCAGAAGAAATGGGTAAAGTTGATAATCCAAAATATTGCAAGTACCACCGAGTTATCAGTCATCCAGTGGAAAAGTGTTTTGTCCTAAAAGAGCGTATCTTAAATTTAGCTCGAGAAGGAAAGATTGAGTTGGATTTCAATGAAATAGCTCAATCAAATCATGCTGCAGTAACAACAAATATAGATAGCCAAACACCTCAAAGTCTATTCTACAATAAGGGGATAGACTTGATCCAATTTGGAACGTTGAAGCCTATATTTGTTCGCTCTCAACGGAAGACTTCAAGAAATGCCATTAAAGATGTTGTCAAATCTGTCGATCAGGGAGAGGAAAACTGGGCTACTGTGACTCGTCAGAAGAAACAAAAACAAAGTTTTGCTCGGAAAGAGTCATCTATTCTCAGCAAAGAGCATGAACACCAAATAAAGAAGGATTCAAGGAAACCTAAATCAGAGAGGAAAGAAAATAAAGACTCCTTTCGACCCCAGATATCGGCGACCTTAAAAGAATTCTCTCCAAAAAAATTCTTCTATATAAAAAAGAAGAAAGAAAATCTTGCAAGTTCACATTACATAAATGTGGAAGAAATTGACAACTCTAAAATAACTGAGCAAATGACTTCTGTATGCGATCGCATCAAGCCTTCAGCTACTCGACCTTTAGTCTTTCAGAGGATGAGTATGGCCACTGCAAAAGAGGAAAGTCAATGTGTTACATACATCCTCACTCGATTTTCAGTATTTCAAAGGCTAAGCATCTCCACGTCAAAGAAAAATCAATCTTTGAAATTTGTTTTTGATCGTCTTGAAGTGTCAAACGATCAATACGAAAGAATGATGAAGACCGTGGAAGCAAAATCATCCGATGAAGTGAATGATGAGAAGAAAATTCATAGCATTGTTCCTTCACATATGAAAAGAAAATTCTCCCTTCTCATAAATACAGAAGGTTCCTTAAAAGTAAAACAAAAGCTTTTCATATCAACCAATC